AAAAACTTCTCCAGCTTTTCTTTTACGTCTTTTGCATGTGGCCTGCGCTCTGGTGAATACGACAACATCTTCATGATGAATTTACTCTGAAAAAGAAGCATAATAGAGTTTTAGGCTAAACTCGGTCCAATCAATATTTATCAGAAGGTAAAAAAAAAGTTCCTTACCTCAGTTTGACAACTATCACTGAACCCTTCTGGAAACCTTTGATCTCTCAGATCCGGCCACAGCTGTGCAACGTCGAAAAATAAATAAAAAATCACTTAAAAATTAAAAGAATTGTTCCTTTTTTTTGTTTGTTTTTGTTTATTCATCAGAACAGATTTGGAGAAATGTAGCATTGCATCAGTGTCTCACTGCAAGTGAATGGGTGCCGTCAGAATGAGAGTCCAAACAGCTGATAAAAACATCACAATAATCCACAGCACTCCAGTCCATCAGTGAACATCTGGAGAAGACAAAAGCTGAAACACATCCAGCATTAAGAGTCAGAAGTACTCTGTGGTAGTTCATTATTCTGAAAGGACCTGACCAAACTGCTGAGACGGTTTCTATGCACAAACATCTCAGATGGTTTTCTGGCTTAACACATTCTGATCCAGATGGAAAAACTTCTCCAGCTTTTCTTTTACGTCTTTTGCATGTGGCCTGTGCTCTGGTGAATACGACAACATCTTCATGATGAATTTACTCTGAAAAAGAAGCATAATAAAGGGCTATATTATAGGCTAAACTCGGTCCAATCAATATTTATCAGAAGGTAAATCAAGTTCCTTACCTCAGTCGAAAAACTCTGACTGAAACCTTTTGGAAACCTTTGATTTTTCAGGTCTTTCCACAGCTGCAATGGCAAGACAGACAGAGTGAATGAATTAAAGATTTTGTTTTTGTAAATGTCTGTAAAGACATTGAATACAGTCTCTACTGATGACTATCATCAAAGACTACTGACCTTCTCTCTTTCCATACCAGTAGATATTTTCCAGAGCATCTCAAACCATACGAGTCCCAGGGGAAAAATGTCTGTTTTTTCATCATAATTCTTCTCATTTTCCTGAAGTAAACAATGTTTTTAATTTTATTAGTATTTATTTATTTTCTTATTTATTCATTCATTCAATGTTTTGCAAATACAATACACTAAATACATTTTTACAAATCTAACTGTAAAATATAAAACTGTAAATGTAGTTCTTGGGTTATTTATGAGCATAAAGGACCCTAAGCTGTAAAGCAATAAAAATGCATCACCTGTTCAGGACTCATATAAGATGGTGTTCCTCTGTTTGACCTCTCTACAGGGTCACCATTTTGATCCGTCTGAGCCGCCACCAGCCCAAAGTCTCCGATCTTCACTTTACCATCAGCACCAAACAGTATGTTATCAGGCTAAAAGGAAAGAACACACGGGTAAAATGCTCATTTGTTTAAATGTAAGTTTAGTTGGCTCCCAGCAACAAATATGAAATACCTTCAAGTCTCTGTGGATGAGCTTGTTTGCGTGGATGTATTCCACTCCAGTGATAATTTCATAAAATATTTTATGGATTTCCACTATGATTCTTTGTTTTTCCATAAAATTTCTCGCCTTTATCCAATCAGTCAGTGTTCCTCCCTTGCAGAACTCCATCTGAATAAATAAGTATGTCCTGCTGCTGAAATAAGAGTCACACGGGTCAACATTTAACATTGCAATGCACGGTATTGTCCTAAATGTGTCATATTATGCTTTTTTTTCAAATTATATTTAAATGTAAATACATCTTAGATTTATGCTGACAAAATGTAGAAATAAATCACTTCCATGACCATGTGATTTGCTGCTGTGCCTCTTTGGATGTGAAATGACTAACAGCTTTTCTTCAGGGTTTGACATTTGGCTTTATACTGTAGTGTTTAAACCGCTCTACCCTTCAATAACAGCCGCTTTCATCACATTATGCCAGATTCATAATTCAGATTAAATGTGCAATTATTCAGATCAGACGGAAATGCACAGGGAATTATTTTTTATTTTTTTTTGTCAAAATAAACCATTTCTAACACTGTTATTCTTCAGAGGAAAATGCAGTTTGGGGCATTTTTGGACCTATTTAAAAGTTACAGTAAAATATAATCTGTTTTTTCCAAAAGAGCAAAGAAAAGTTGATTCCTCATTATACGAGCCCTTTAAACAATGTAGTTGTAGTGCCATAAATTTCCATCAAAGAAATAAACTCACTGATTTGAGTCTAAACAGTCAGTTCTGTTGTTTCCCGAGGGCTCAGCAGCAGCGGATGCTGATCTGAGAACAGACCCAGTTACAGTTACATTTACATTCATGCATTTGACAGATACTTTTAACCAAAGGGACTTAAAGTACATTAGGGCTACATTTTATTAGCAGATGCATCTGCTGGGAATAAAACCCTTGATAGTTGACACACTGTATTACTAGTTTACCCTTAAAGATAATTAAAGGAATTAAAGGGATAGTTAAAATGTAAATGTGAAGTTTATCTGCTTACCCCCAGGACAGCCAAGATGTAAGTGACTTTGTTTCTTCAGTAGAACACAAACGAAGATTTTTAAGTCAAACCATTGCAGTCTGTCAGTCATATAATGGAAGTAAATAGGAGTCACGGCTTTGAGAGTAAAAAAAAACATACACAAACAAAACCAAATTAAACCCTGCGGCTCGTGACGATACATTGATGTGTAAAGACACAAAACGATCAGTCTTTGTAAGAAACTGAACAGTATATATATCATTTTTTTACCTCTGATTTTCACCGCAATGTTCGAACTGTCCTGAGCGCGTTCAACAGCCGGATCGCAGACTTATAAGTGCATTACCGCCACCTATCTCTCAAGTGGACCATTGACACTCCTAACTGAGATTGTAGATAGACTTCCACTTCTATTATATGACTGACAGACTGCAACGGTTTGAGTTAAAAATCTTCGTTTGTGTTCTACTGAAGAAACAAAGTCAGTTGAATGTCCTGCGGGTAAGCAGATAAACATCACACTTTCATTTTTGGCTGAACTATCCCTTTAAGGAACTTTGAAATCCGTCGTAACATTTTAACACACGACGTCACATAATTTTACTACACTGTAAAAAAATGACTTTAAAATAAAACAAATATTGTAGTACGTTTTACAACAAAATAGTCTACAATTTCTACTAACTTTACGCTTAATTAAATGTTACTTGCCATCTGTTTTGTGAAATTTACAAGCAATTTCTGAGTAATAACCCCCCCCCCAGTGTACTTAAAGGGGTCATATGATGCTATTTTAAAGATCATTAATTTGTGTATTTGGTGTAACAGAATATGTTGACATGCTTTAATGTTCAAAAAACACATTATTTTGCAAATACTGTACATTATTGTAGGTCCTCTATGCCCCGCCTCTCTCAAACACGTAGTTTTCAACAAAAAAAGCCCCCTCCTTCCGACAAGCGCAGCCTGCTCTGATTGGCCAGCTGACCCAGTGCACTGTGATTGGCCGAACACCGCAAGCACTCATCAGAAATGTAACGCCCCTTACCATAATCGCAGCTTCAGCTTTCAAAGTAAATATCAAGACAGTTAATAATGTCATTAGTTTTCCCATCATTTCAAGCCCGAAAGGACAACAGAGTTGCGTGACAGACACAGTGATGATGCAGTACACAAGCCGTTCCTTCATCTTGACTGAGCTTTCAATGTTGTTACGGGAAAGGATGAAGCTGATTGGTTGGTTCTTGTCACATGACCCCGCGGTGCGCTTGCGGCATTCTGAAAAGTTGAAATGTTTTTATCTCGATGCGGCGCGGACGCGCCTGGAAAAAATTAGCACGTCGCACCAAGTGCGCGTTGCGTCCATTATGAGCGCGCCTTCATTTGAAATAACAAACTTGAGCGCGCAAAAAACGCGATATGTGAATGGCCCCTGAGATTGTAGATAGACTTCCACTTACATTATATGACTGACAGACTGCAACGGTTTGAGTTAAAAATCTTCATTTGTGTTCTACTGAAGAAACAAAGTCTCCTACATCTTGGATGCCCTGCAGGGGGTAAGCAGATAAACATCACATTTACATTTTTGGCTGAACTATCCCTTTAAGGAACTTTGAAATCCGTCATAACATTTTAACACACGACGTCACTTAATTTTACTACACTGTAAAAAATGACTTTAAAATGTTGTAAATAAAACAAATATTATAGTACGTTTTACAACAAAATAGGCTACAATTTCAGCCTTTCTACTAATTTTACGTTTAATTAAATGTTACTTGCCGTCTGTTTTGTGAAATTTACAAGCAATTTCTGAGTAATTCCCCCCGTGTACTTAATATAAAAACACTTTTTGTCTGAGTTTTATCACGGCGACCTTTTAATATTATAAAACGTACCACATTTAAACTCTTTTCTCTCTCTCTTTCTCAATTCAATTGAATTCAAATGAGCTTTATTAGCATGACTGTGTACCATTTCAATCAATATATTATACAAGCATACTGATAAATAAAAAGTATCTCTCTTTAGCTAATGTTCTGGAATAGACTGATAATATCTTAGACCCCATTCTGACATTTTTAGACGAGGGATTGAGTAGGTAATTCTACAGGATTTTTATTTACAATGATAGCCTAGCAATTGAAGTATGCTTAAACAGATTAAAAAATAAAAAATAAAATAATATAATAATATAAAATCAGACGTGAGCAAATAAGAAAACCTTCACAGACAGCAAAAAAGAGAAAAGCATGGATACAAATGCACCACTTTAACTGTAGACAAGGTTTAAAGCTCCATGATTTATTGTTACAGAATATTATGCAATACAGACAGGTTCACAATAAAGACTGACAGCTGATGGATTCAACTTCTGTTCCAAAGGAAATTCATGTAAATAGAAACTGAGTGAATCAACACTCGAGTTATATTTGTCAACCATTGATTCTTCACCAGATAAATTCAGACTGAATTACAGTAATGCAACAGCATGATCAGAGAGGAGTTTTTTTTAAAGATACCACTAAATATTGTAGAAACTTAATTTGCTGTAAAGTTGCTTTGCAACGATTTGTGAAAAGCGCTATACAAATAAACTGACTTTATAGCTTTTTGCTCTTGTTTTTCTTTCTTTTGTGTTCTACAGAACACAGCAGGCATTCTACTACATACTTTCCACAGAAGAACGGCATTAAGGATGAGTAAATGATGAATTTTTATTTTTACATCAACTTCCCCCTCGTAGTTTTTTTTTTAGAATTGCACACTTGCCGTGTGAACCTTTTTGTAAGTTGCTCTATGGAAGCATCTGCTAAATGCTTCACCTTGAATGTTACAGTATAAGCAACTGTTATTATTATAAAGGCATATAAGAGATGAGATCTCATTAAACGGTCCTGTTGTCTTTATCTGCTTTCAGGATGTTAGTATACCGGTCCAGCTCTCTGATCAGCTCGGAGGCGTCTGGTCTCTCGTCAGGACTGGGACTCAGCATTCGATCTATGAGCTTGTGCTGTTTCAACAGCCATGAAAAACGAGTCCGCATGTTAGGTAACGATCAGCTTTGAGTAAGTGATCATAGCAGGCTAATATTTAAATTGATTGACCAATTGATAATAGCACAATAGCACTTGCACCAAAGAAAACCATGCTCTATTTCAACATCGTCACTAATGAAATTACACTCACCTCAAAGTTACATTTCTTGGAGAACTGTGATGGAAAATCCCTACTTCTTATATCATCCCAAATCTAAAAGTCACAAAGTTTAAAAAAAAAATTACTTCAATATTTAAAATTATTTGTGATACTCTGTATTTTTGTCTTGTTTTCTAGTACAATTATCGAAACACTCTAAAATGTAGATACATTTAGAAGCAAAATAACTTGAGATATGAAGTCTTGTTTTATGAAAAATGTATAACTTTTTTTTTTTTTGCTTAAAAAAAAATAAAAAAAAATAAAAAAAAATTTTCCCTTTTAATTAAGTTTATTTTTTCTCACCCCACTGGCAGATATATGTTCCTGTTTTAAGCATAAATTTTAATATTATAATATTTAACTGGGAGTTTTTCAGAAAATAAAACTTAATATCTTAAGTCATTTTGGTTTTCGAGTAAATGTACCTCGACTTAAGAATGTTTAGATGTTTGTACCTGAAAAATGACAAAAATACTAAGAAAATCATTCTTTGTAGTGTAACATATCAGACACTTAGATGTAGATTCAAGTTTCGTGTTCAGGATGAATACATAGATTGTATTACTATATAAGAGACTAAAAGACGAATCAAACCTTTTTCCTTTCATGCAACGTGAAGAGATTCCAGATGAGTTCAAAATAAATGAGACCCAGAGCGTATATATCCACCTTTCTGTCATACGATGTTTGATTCGCCTAAATTTTCAGTTTAAAAACAGTGAAATCTTCAGCATTACACTCACATAAAGCACACTTACATATGATCTCATAGTACCTTCAGTCAGATAGATTCTTATTTACTTTGTAAACGCATATTCCTCACAATCTTACTGTGCATGTTTTATTATTGTGCATGAACATTCCAATTTAAATGAAACATGCAAAATTACAGTCCAGTAAAACGGTTTATGAACAGCAGGTCAAATTCTAATGTATGTCTCCTGACTCACCTGTTCTGGGCTCATGTAAATACGGGTTCCTGTCCTTTTAGTCCGTACCAGCAGTTGCTGGTCATTGTCATTTTCTGCTGCGGTCACGAGGCCGAAGTCTCCAACCTTTACTGTTCCCTCACTGCTGAACATTATGTTCAAAGGCTGAAACGAAGAAACAGGAGAGCGTGATCAAAACAGCGTCAAACCAGGACTCTAGTGGAATTCAGAAGTCAGGAATTCCTTTTCAATTCTAGGTTATTATCGTTAACGAAAACTGAAATAAAAACATTTCTGTTACTTAATTTATATATATATGTGTATAGAAAATAGCTCAAATAAAATAGAAAAAAAACCTTCAAAATATTAATAAAACTATAATAGTACATAACACTGATTCTTATTTGCTCCCTTAATTTTAAAAAAATAATGAGGAAGATAATGATTTTGCAGTACTGCAGCATTTAATGCAATGATTTTATGAACTTAAGACTTTCGGCTCCAATTTAAGACCTTTTTAGGGGGTTATTTATGGAAGGTTGAACAATTTTGAATCTTAATTCTAACCATTTTTGATGATAAAACATACTAAGATTATAAGCGCACCTCAGAAGGAAACATTATAAAATAATTAAAAAATGCATTTCATGACCACTTTTTAACATCCAGTAAGGTGTGACCAATTTGATTTAACTACTTGTGACCATGGACCACAAAACCAGTCATAAGGGTCAATTTTTCAGAATTGAGCTGAATAAATAAGCTTTCCGTTGATGTATGGTTTGTTAGGATAGAACAATATTTGGCCGAGATACAACTATTTGAAAATCTGGAATCTGAGGGTGCGAAAAAATAAAAAATCAAAATCAAAATGTTAAGAAAATCATCTTTAAAGTTGTCCAAATGAAGTTCTTAGCAATGCATATTACTAATCAAACATTACGCTTTGATATATTTACGGTAGGAAATTTACTAAATATCTTCATGGAATACATGAATGTATTGTTGGCTATTGCTACAAATATACCCGTGCAACTTATGACTGCTTTTGTGCTCCAGGGTCACATTTTAGTGAGCTTCCCACCTTCAGGTCTCTGTGGATCAAGCCCTCTTTGTGGATGTACTCCACGGCCTTCAGCACCTGCCTGTTGATCTGTGCTGCCTCCTTCCTCCTCTCTGGGTCATGAACATCTGAAGAGTTTCTTTTATCAATCCAGGCATGAAGCGTGTCTCCCTCACAAAACTCCATCTGAATGTAGAGGAACTTTGTTTCCGGGTCACTGCCAGAACTAAAGCCAGCAGACAGAGAGAGCAGCACAAATACACATGTTACAGCTGGTTGAAGGTAGAGACTGCAGTTTGTTTCAGAAAGAGTTGTTTTTGGTGAATTACTCTGAGAGGCTGTAGCTCTCTGAAGAATCGTGTCTGTATGCCGTGTCCTCGACCCAACATGAGTAGTAGCGGACGATGTTGGCGTTATTAAACTTAGCCAAAGCACTGACCTCACGACGAGCTTTTCTAGGGAAATACAGTATATATATAATGACATTATGTTATGTAGTACAAAAATAAAGTTGCATTGCTGTATATTTTGTTTTAAAGGGTTAATTCACCCAAAAATGATAATTAGCCCATGATTTACTCATCCTCTAGGCATCCTAGGTGTATATGACTTTCTTCTTTCAGACGAATCCAATCAGAGTTATATAAAAAATTGTCCTTGCTCTTCCAATCTTTACGATGGCATGGGTGGGTGTTTTTGTTCAACAGTCCAAAAGTAGTCAAATAAAGCGCATCCATCCATAACAAAACATGCCTCACATGGCTCCGGGGGGCGGGGTGAATAATGGCCTCCTGTAGCAAATTGATGTGTTTTTGTAAGAAAAATATCCATATTTAAAACATTATAAACACCTTTTTCTCACTTCTGCTGACTGTCGTAGGCGGAAGACATTCCGGTGGATGACGTAGGACGTATGCGTCACATAAGCGCCGGTGATTAGTGACGAACGCGGAAGCGCGACAGAGAGAGAACAGAATAAAACGCCGGTCACGAATTAGAAGCATAAAACTAGGATTTGTAAAGAAGCATGTCAGAGGATTTCGATATAAGCCAAGAGGAGACTGGTTTTCCTTTGCTAAATTAAGGAAATTTTACTTCCTTTGCTCCTGTAAACAAACGTAGGTTTTGGCGAGACTCATATGCGCATGCGCTGCGCTGTGCCGACGTCCTGCTTCATCTGCCGGAAAGGCAGTCTCTCGTGAATGAGCATATGACAGTTAGCGGAAGTTACACAGAACTATTTATATCATTTTAAATATGGATATTTTTCTTACAAAAACGCATGGATTCGCTACAGGAGGCCATTATTCACTTCCCCCCCCCAGGAGCCACGTGAGGCACATTTTAATATGGATGGATGCACTTTATTTGACTACTTTTGGACTGTTGAACAAAAACACCTGCCCATGCCCTTATAAAGCTTGGAATATAACTCTGATTCGTCTGAAAGAAGAAAGTCATATACACCTAGTATGCCTTGAGGGTCAGTAATACATGGGCTAATTTTGATTTTTGGGTGAACTAACCCTTTAAGACCTAGTTAGCTGCTGGCTTAGATAACTTTTTTGGACATCATATTGACACAACTACTGTGAAGCCTATTTAAAATGGCAGGTTTTAGGATGATGTAACCTATAGGACACATATCAAGTTTTTGCAACTATCAAATTATTTATTATTTATTTAAAGACAAAGATGATAAAATAACTTAAGTTCCTTACTTTGTACTCGTCACTATCTTCACAGCATAATATGTGCTCTCAAGCTTTCGTCTTGCCTTGAAAACACGGCCGAAGCCACCTTTGCCAATCGGATTTATTGAGTCAAAGTCTTCTAAAAACCTACAAAGATGAACATAAAGGCAAAACAAGATTATTTTTCTTTGCCAATTGGCAGATATTTTTTCTTGTTTTTAGCAAAAAATAACAACATTTAGATTTTTTTTTCTTCTTCAGAAAACAAGTCATAATATCTTAAGTCGTTTTGATTCTCAAGTAAATGCATCTTGATTCAAGAATGTTTAGAAAGTAGTACTGGAAAATGACAAAAATACTAAGAAAATCATTCTTTGTAGTGTAACATATCAGACACTTAGATGTAGATTCAAGTTTCGTGTTCAGGATGAATACATAGATTGTATTACTATATAAGAGACTAAAAGACGAATCAAACCTTTTTCCTTTCATGCAACGTGAAGAGATTCCAGATGAGTTCAAAATAAATGAGACCCAGAGCGTATATATCCACCTTTCTGTCATACGATGTTTGATTCGCCTAAATTTTCAGTTTAAAAACAGTGAAATCTTCAGCATTACACTCACATAAAGCACACTTACATATGATCTCATAGTACCTTCAGTCAGATAGATTCTTATTTACTTTGTAAACGCATATTCCTCACAATCTTACTGTGCATGTTTTATTATTGTGCATGAACATTCCAATTTAAATGAAACATGCAAAATTACAGTCCAGTAAAACGGTTTATGAACAGCAGGTCAAATTCTAATGTATGTCTCCTGACTCACCTGCTCTGGGCTCATGTAAATACGGGTTCCTGTCCTTTTAGTCCGTACCAGCAGTTGCTGGTCATTGTCATTTTCTGCTGCGGTCACGAGGCCGAAGTCTCCAACCTTTACTGTTCCCTCACTGCTGAACATTATGTTCAAAGGCTGAAACGAAGAAACAGGAGAGCGTGATCAAAACAGCGTCAAACCAGGACTCTAGTGGAATTCAGAAGTCAGGAATTCCTTTTCAATTCTAGGTTATTATCGTTAACGAAAACTGAAATAAAAACATTTCTGTTACTTAATTTATATATATATGTGTATAGAAAATAGCTCAAATAAAATAGAAAAAAAACCTTCAAAATATTAATAAAACTATAATAGTACATAACACTGATTCTTATTTGCTCCCTTAATTTTAAAAAAATAATGAGGAAGATAATGATTTTGCAGTACTGCAGCATTTAATGCAATGATTTTATGAACTTAAGACTTTCGGCTCCAATTTAAGACCTTTTTAGGGGGTTATTTATGGAAGGTTGAACAATTTTGAATCTTAATTCTAACCATTTTTGATGATAAAACATACTAAGATTATAAGCGCACCTCAGAAGGAAACATTATAAAATAATTAAAAAATGCATTTCATGACCACTTTTTAACATCCAGTAAGGTGTGACCAATTTGATTTAACTACTTGTGACCATGGACCACAAAACCAGTCATAAGGGTCAATTTTTCAGAATTGAGCTGAATAAATAAGCTTTCCGTTGATGTATGGTTTGTTAGGATAGAACAATATTTGGCCGAGATACAACTATTTGAAAATCTGGAATCTGAGGGTGCGAAAAAATAAAAAATCAAAATCAAAATGTTAAGAAAATCATCTTTAAAGTTGTCCAAATGAAGTTCTTAGCAATGCATATTACTAATCAAACATTACGCTTTGATATATTTACGGTAGGAAATTTACTAAATATCTTCATGGAATACATGAATGTATTGTTGGCTATTGCTACAAATATACCCGTGCAACTTATGACTGCTTTTGTGCTCCAGGGTCACATTTTAGTGAGCTTCCCACCTTCAGGTCTCTGTGGATCAAGCCCTCTTTGTGGATGTACTCCACGGCCTTCAGCACCTGCCTGTTGATCTGTGCTGCCTCCTTCCTCCTCTCTGGGTCATGAACATCTGAAGAGTTTCTTTTATCAATCCAGGCATGAAGCGTGTCTCCCTCACAAAGCTCCATCTGAATGTAGAGGAACTTTGTTTCCGGGTCACTGCCAGAACTAAAGCCAGCAGACAGAGAGAGCAGCACAAATACACATGTTACAGCTGGTTGAAGGTAGAGACTGCAGTTTGTTTCAGAAAGAGTTGTTTTTGGTGAATTACTCTGAGAGGCTGTAGCTCTCTGAAGAATCGTGTCTGTATGCCGTGTCCTCGACCCAACATGAGTAGTAGCGGACGATGTTGGCGTTATTAAACTTAGCCAAAGCACTGACCTCACGACGAGCTTTTCTAGGGAAATACAGTATATGACGACATTATATTAGGTACACTGCTGTATATTTTGTTTTAAAACCTAGATATACATACTTTTTTGGCCATCATAGGCACACAACCACTGTAAAGGCAATCTAAAATGGCAGGTATTGGGATGATGTATCCTATAGGACACACATCAAGTTTTTGCAACTATCAAATTACATTATTTAAAGACAAAGACGATATAACAACTTCATTGACTTACTTTGTACTCTTCACTATCTTCACAGCATAATATGTGCTCTCAAGCTTTCGTCTTGCCTTGAAAACACGGCCGAAGCCACCTTTGCCAATTGGATTTATTGAGTCAAAGTCTTCTAAAAACCTACAAAGATGAACATAGCAGTTTCAAAACAATGGATTTCTAAAGGAAAAAAGCTTTTTGAAAGCTATGCTGACTGACACAAAGTAAGCGGGTTATGATTCACCTTGACTTCATAGCTTGGTTTGAAGTTTGACCTCCAGATGGCTTTGCTGGGTTTTGTACATTCATGTTAGGACCAACCTGTGGAAAGTATTGGAAGAAGAAAAATTCTAGAAATAAGTCAATAGAAGAAAAACTTTTTTTTCCTTGCGTTTGGAGAATTTTGGAACTGGCTTTATAAAAACATCCTATTCTTATTTCTGCCAGATAAGAAAAAAAAGCTTTGATAAATCCTAATAATTATATAAAAAGTCATAATTATGAGATTAAAAAGTCGATATATTATTATATTAAAAGGTTACAATTATGATATAAAAAGGCGTAATTATGAGAGGTGTATATTATGGTACTAAAAGGGTACAATTATGACCTATAAACTTAATTTTTACATCATAATTTTGCCTTTTTCGCCATAAATTTGTCTCATAATATTGATTTTGTAAAATCTAATAATTATATCTTTTTATCTGGAAATCTTATGTAGCGGAAATGAGCTTTCACACCCGTTGAACTGGCCTTTTTTTTTGCATTTATCTATTAATTTTGCAAACATTACTTTCGGGGGGATACTCAAAGTAAAACATACATGTCCCAAACTTCACATGCGTATATATTTTCAGTCTTTGCATTTTTCATTTGTCACAGAAAATGCAACTTTCATAACTTCATTCTGTTTTACTTTACAGTTCAGCTAATACGGTTTTGTACTCATTTACATCACCATTATTGGCAAATAATGTTGCAATACCTCTTTACTCCCGGCCAGGCCATTTGGTGACAGATTAAAATTTGGTGCTAATCTAGAAGAAGAAAAAAATGTAGCCATTAATGACTAAAAAAATATAAATTATATACATAAAAACAAAATCTAAAAATGCTTACTTTATTTTGGGCTTCACATCCAGTGGACTCACACTCTGTAACAGATTGATTTCATAAGTTTTTCAAATATATATATATATATAATACAATGAAATGTGTTTATGTTTTTTTAATCGGATAGCCTCTAATATATTAGTGTGTAAAACGCGTGAATATGTAAAAAAAAAAATAACTACACAAATGCAAATGCTACCAATAACGCAGACAGGACTTACTGGACTTATGGCCATTGGAGAACTGACAGCAGATGAGTCTTTAAAGACAATGAAAGAACTTGAGCTGGGAGTTTCAGACGAGCTTTTTGAGGAGGGTTGTGCATCCTGAGATTTACTATAAAACAGATAAACAGTAAACGTCAACATATCTTTATATTATTATATGCACATAATATATACTTCTATAAAGATGCATTGTTATTTTGTTCATTTGAACTTACGATGTCTCTTGAGTTTGTGAAGAGCTGTCATTTTCAGAACTCTGTTCATTCAAAACATGCATGTGCATTAATAAACATGGCATCATTAACATCTAAACCAAATACAAGGTATTTCTGAAGCGTCCTGCCTGTGTGGTCCTTCCAGATTGCTCCTTAATTTCGCTCCAAGCGTGCTGAGCAGCATGTTGCTTTGCCTCTTTTGCGCTCTTTCCTTGTCCTTCAGGGTATTCCTTCCCGTCTATGACAACTTTATATACAAACCTGAAAAAGAACATTTTCAGTTTTTCGTTTTCAACTCAAACGAATCTGCAGAGTTCAAGACTTACTCAGGGTTGTGAGGAGGGCCTCGTTTCTCCACTAATTTGAAATCAAGTGTATGTTTATATTTCTGGCTGTAGTTATTGAGAAGTGCTATGTAGTTGCTGTCAGGGATGGTGCTTCGAGATTCATCAGCAAAACTCAAACTGGAACGGTCCAGGCTAGCACTTGAATAAAGGACAAGAAGTCAAAATTAACAGCACAATATAGAGTATAGTAATTAAAGGAATAGTTCAGCTAAAAATGAAAATTAGCTGAAAATGTCATCATCCTCAGGCCATCCAAGATTAGGATGAGTTTGTTTCTTCATCAGATTTGGAGAAATGTAGCACTGCATCAGTGTCTCAGCAATGGATGCTCTGCAGTGAATGGGTGCCGTCAGAATGAGAGTCCAAACAGCTGATAAAAACATCACAATAATCCACAGCACTCCAGTCCATCAGTTACCATCTGGAGAAGACAAAAGCTGAAACAAATCCAGCATTAAGACGTTTTTAACTTCAAACCTTTGCTTCCTGCTAAAATATGAGTCCATAATCCATAATAACGCTTCTTCCAGTGAAAATGTGGTCTGGTCTGAATCAGGAGAGAAATCTGCACAGATCAAGCAGCGTTTACAAGCCAAAACAGCTCTAAACAAATATATGGCTGGATTTTGATGTGAAAGACAACAGGAGATGCACTTTTTCACTGGAGGAAGAGTTATGGATTATGGACTCGTATTTGAGTTAAAAAC